ACACGCAGTTCCTGCTTCTCATTTGGACCCAAAGTGCCACTTTCTGGAGAGATGGTAACCACGCAGGAAGCAGCCTGCCTTCCAAGAAGCTGCTCAACAAATCCAGACAGCCAGTCAAGGAATGGCAATCAATGAAACCTTCTGACATGGCAATGATACCCCAAAGCCCCGCACTGACCTCTCCCCATTGGAAGTGAGTAGGGAGCAAGGTCTGGTTAAAAAGCTCGGCAGTCGCCTCTGCCGGAATCCCAATGGAGAGGTCAAAATGTAAATGGCTAGAGAGCAGGCAGACGTGAGGAGTCTGAACTTCCACAAAAACAGAAATATGACTGGAGACAGAAAGAGAAAAAAAGAGAGATTAGGGAGAGGGGGAAACACGCTCTGTCAACACTTAAGTGAAGATGTACCAATAGTTAATTCAAATCAAGGCATTTCATCACCTTTCCTCCCTGTCCACAAAACACAAGGCTTCAACCTTGCCAGCACAATACACATAGGAACCCAAACAAAACTGTGAAGCCATTCCTTCTGGCCAAGTCCTCTTTAAGGTCTGGATTCAGTCTACAAGCCTGAGATCCCTCCTGGTTTCAACGCTACCTCTTCAAGCCAAAGCAGACAATACAGTTCACATGTCAGAGTAAGTGGAGAAAACGAACAGTTTGCTTCTTGTATGTTTCACCTTTTAAGTGTGTGATCCTTTCAGATCCCTGCTTTCCAGTGGCCCGTGCCAACTCTGCAGTGGCCAGACCCCTGAGTCCCCTTGGCTGTCTCCCCAACTGTCCTGTCTCCGCCTAACCCCAAGAGCAGGAAATGAGTTCCCTTTTCCCACAGCTACCTTTCTCATGTGCAGAGGTTACAAGCATTCAGACAGAGGCTCTCACAAAAGCTGTGTCCTACTGCGAAGGCCCATAAGCAGACTCGGCCACCCCACGCATTGTGTCCTGCCCCACAAAATCCTACCCTACACCAAGGGCGGCACATCCCCTTCTCACCTTCCAACACCGTTTTCCACTTCCATTTCTAACACGGTCTGGAGACGTTGACACATGTATGATGTGAACAAAACAGAGACGCGGCACTTCCCAAGAGGGCCGAGTTCTCCACTGGCAGGCTCCATCGTGAATGGGGAGGTCTGCAGGGAGAAAACGGAGAGCCATGGAATCCCCTGCACAGAGGAGCCTTCCTCAAACTGCTGCTCTCCCAACTGTCTTGGGCTACCACTCCCATGATTTCTAGCGGGCATAAACGTGGGTGGAACAGAGCTCTAAATTCAAATGCCCCCCCCTTCAATTCTCCCCTGAAAAGCAAAGCGTCTTTGGAGAAAGTGCTCCATGGGGAAGACCCAGAAAGTGACCCAAGCACCCTGCTGGGCACTCAAACTGGGATTTAGACCCTAAGATGTTTTCAGAGGAACGTGCCTCTTCGTTTCGCTCTGCTAGGCAATCAGGGCTTTCTTGCAGTTTCCATTTTCCCGGCAACTGGCTGAGATTTTGGATCTCAAAAGTGCACAATGCTTTTTCTCGCAGTTTCAGCAGGCCCAAGTCAAGGGATGGCACATCAATGGAGAGAAGAGGTCCCTAGGAAAGAGGAATACACAAGGAATAAGCCCGTGGCCACTGCAAAACGAACCGGGTTGCAAAGCATCCATTTTTCCGGCAGCTGAAGATTTTGGATTGTTCACACGCCCAGGTAAAAACACTTGAGACAGTTGCTTTGGGACTATCTGTCAAAAGACAACCAGATCAAGCAGATCACCACAATCATTAACAGAGGGACGGAATCGCCCTCTCAGAGCTCCCAACTTCACATGCAGCAGGCCTCGGTGCAGCCAGAGATACCTTCTCAATTCCTACAATATTTATCTGAGCCATGGCTCCTGATTCTGAACATCCAGGTAAAAAGGATCTGACTTAGACATGATGAGAGTTTCACAGGTTTAGACATTCCCACCTTAAAATCAGCTTCCACGTGCAGCACCACCGGCTCCGCCGAATTTGTGATCTTGCACTGCAGGTCATGAGAGGAATGCCCAGGTTTCCCTCCAGTAAAAACAAACTCAAATTCACAGCATTCACTTTCCCCTACAACAAACAGATCCATTACTTCTCTTGGGGGAGGGGGGGATGAAAAGAGGGGATTCTCCCACCCCTAGGCCCCATTTCGCCCCCAAGCTCAACAGCATCAATCCAGAACACACACGGAAGTCCTAACAGCTACGTTTTTTTCTCTTATGATGGAAGCTCTGCAATTCATCCGATGCACCCAGGGGTCCGATACAAAGAACAAAAACTGCCGTACCTAATAGTCCAGAATGGGGTTCAACCTCCAGAATGTCACACTCGCTGATTTTCTCCCATATAAATGTGACTGGGGACTTGCTGTTATTATACATCTGTAAAGCCAAAAATGAAGGAATAATTAATGTCACAATACATTATGTATTATGACATTATGTATTAATGTAATAATGTAATTAATACATTGTGTATTAATGTATTAATTAATGTAATTAATGTATTAATTACTTAATACATTATGTATTAATACATTATTTTCAACTTACTCAAGTCATGATATGTGTCGAGATAGAAAGCACGTGGAATCACAGACTCAAACTTGATTTTGTTTGTGTTAAATAATATTTGTGTTTCCTCATCTAACCCTGATAAGCTTTCAGCATTTTCACTTCATTTATTTCAGTTCTCTCCTGTCTCCCTTCTGAAGACCACAGGGCTATGGGATGGAAAAAGGAGATCACAGGTAGCCAGAGGGACTCTTCCAGCCCAGAAGGAACCTACAGGCACTTGACTTAGGATTCCAGCAGGCCCAATTAGGAATTAGAGAATTCCTACTCTCAGCCCTTTTCCAGCCTAGTCCAGGAATTTGATTATTTATTTTTTTAAAATATTTCTATCCTATCCTATATCCAAGGACAAGACACAAGTCATTTAGCATCATTAAGCAATTTAAACCAATATAAGCAACTGTTTTAAAAGTTTTACAGTGGTGCCCCGCACGACGATGACAATCTGTTCCAGGAAAACTGGTGCCCCGCATGACGATGACAATCCGTTTCAGGAAAATCGCTGTACAGTGAAATCGTGGTCATGCGAAGAAAAACGCTGTACAGTGAAATCGTCGTCATGCGAAGAAAACTCCCCATTGGAATGCATTGAAATTGTTTAATGCATTCCAATGGGGAAATACCTCATCGTCCAGTGAAGATCGCCCATAGAGAACCATCAATCAGCTGTTTTAAATCACTGTCTTGCAACGCTTCTGTCCAGAAAACACCCATTTTGCGAAGGGAAGCCATCCATTTTGTGAAGGGAAGCCATTTTGCGGAGCCAGAAAAATCGTCGTTTTGCGAACAAACGGTTCATGAAGCAAGGACCTAATCTACGTCAAGCGAAAATCCCGCATAGGAAACATCGTTTTGCCATTGCTATAGCGATGGCAAAAATGTCATCGTCCTGCGGTTTCGTTGTTCAGCGAGGTCGTCATCTAGCGGGGCACCACTGTACTACACAGCTGAAAATAATTTAAAGCAGCATGCAGCATACATATTATCTTGCAGTCATGCCATGATCTTTATTCCTGAGCATAAGGGACCAAAACCAATCCTCTGGACGAAGTCAATGTATTTCACACTGGCATGGGAAACATGCAAGTGGAGAGTCTCTGATCAGCACGAAATGACACACCTTAAAAGTCCTCCTAAGGTTTACGCCAATGTAGTTTTCTCCCGGGATGATAATGGCATAGGGTTCTAATAGCAGTTGAAATGGTTCTGTTTGTCCTTTAATGTCTATTTCCAAGGCAATCACATCTTCTTGCTGGGTTTCCCCACTTTCATACAGCCCTATGTTTTGAGGACTACACAAAGAACACAAATATAGTTCTGTTATGTGCACTTGATATACCTCAATACCATACAACTTGATTCTCTGACAACAGATTGGCTGGTGTTTCACTGCCTCTACAGTATTTATCACCTTAAATATTTCATGTAAGTTAAATGTCTAAATACCACCCTATGCCTCTCCAGCCCAAACTACACAGCATTATTCACTCCCCCCACAAAAGAACACTTAAGCCATCTACTTTTGTTTTGTGTGTGTGCGCGTGCCCACACACGCGCGCGCTTGCATGTGTGTGCACGCCTTCCAAACCCAAGTCTCTTTAAGCTTCCATATCAAAGCAAGAGCACCATTTGAATGTATACAAACACATTTGGACCTAGGATGCTAAATCAGCTATAACAAAGGCCTTCCCGTCTTGATCAAACCTCTTCTAGGATCAGCCTAGCAAATGTAAGCATCAAACAAGCAGCAAGTGGTTTAAACACATTCTTCTAGGCTCATCACGTCTCTCTTACCTAGGTAATTCTGGGATATCCTCAAGCACTATCTGAAGCACGCTGTGATAGTCCATTAGCTGTGAAGAAAAAAGAAAGCCCAGAACACGAGGGAATAATTTTAGGGTGTTACAGCTTAAAAGAATCACATTTTTGGACCAGAATCCCTCAGTGGCCATGGCCGTGACTATGCCAGCTGGAGATTCTGTGAATTCTAGTCTGAAAGACAAATTTCTTTAGCATTCCCATTAACAATTTACCACCTGATGGTTGTAAATTTACCACCTACTGAGATTTTCCCGTCCTTTCCTCACCTTTTAAGCTCTTTGTCTCTCAAGAGTCTCCTATACTGTATCTGGCATATAAGGTGGGTCAACATACATCATGACATACACCATGAGCTGCTGCTTGCTAATGTAATGTGAGGCTGAGTCCTTCTGGTGATTGCCCAGGTCATAAATATTCATGTGCTATTTGCATAGACCAATAGTAGTGCTGGAGGGGCGGAGTCACAAGGTATGAGACTCAGCAGGAGGAAGAGGAGTTTAGATGGGGTTTGGGAGATAGTTTTGGAGTTTGGGCAGGAGAGTGATGGTCGAAAGAAATAAAGGAGAATGTTTACGATTTAACAACACTGCTTGTTCTGTCAACACCTGTATCAATCAACAATTTCTATTTGGTTCTTTTAAAATGACATATGGCCTGCACCTTGATTATTAATAATAGGTCCTCCATGCCGTGAGGGAACAGGCCAGGTAGGTGGGACTCGTTCAGCCCTGGAAGGCAGCCCATCTAGGAGAAGGAAAACTCCGATCCCAAACCTCCACTGCCTAGTGGCTATATCCACTCATGGAAAAGGCTTCAGGAGTTAACCTTGAGGCAAAATCCAGAGCCGGAGTCCCGGAGGCAGTTCGTGTCGTTCTGGCAACTCCTGCAACGTCGCTGGAACCAGTTGTATTGGCCCTTGCCTTTCCACTGGACTATTTCAGTGACGTGGAGAGGGGGGATTTGCTGCTTGGGTAACAGCCTATCCTCCATATTATTTTACTCAGGCTTCGTGCTCTGGAGAGGACACTCCAGCTTCACGTACAGCGTCAAAACACTAGACGCTGTTCCAAGTTCTCCATACAGAGCACGCTACCATAGTCTCTCGAGACTGAAGGATGCCTATGATGTTGATGAAATCAACCAGTGGCAGCTGAGGGGCACATGACTGAAGGATGCCTATGATGTTGATGAAATAACCAGTGGCAGCTGAGGGGCACATGGCATGGGCTCCTTTGTTTGGTGAAACAAACAGGGGTCATGTGGAATCGTGACAGTCCAAAATATGGAAAGGCAAGGAATTGAAATTTTCAAGAAACAGATTAATTCACATCTAAGTTCTAAGACCTCTCAGTAGAGGCCGAAACAAACAGGGGCCACGTGGAATTGTGATAGTCCAAAATATGGAAAGGCAAAGAATTGACATTTTCAAGAAACAGATTAATTCACATCTGAGTTCTAAGACTTCTCAGCAGAAGCAAACTAAACTCAGACGTAGCTAAGGGAGCAACATAGGTAACCCATCACTGAAAAACCGGAAGTCGCAACAGGAAGTGCATCAGGAAGAGCAATGCTGTACCTTTTTTGGCCTGAATGTGAGAATAAACGAATGGTCAGAATGCGGATGCAACCTCCCCATGGAAGGCATTACAGAGAAAGCTGACTCTGTCTCCACATTATATTTTATCTTGGTAAGGTCCACTTTCCCTTCCAGCATTAATGGTTGCAGGTTAGGTTTCATAATCTGCCAGAAGAAGGGAAGTTCCACATGGCTGAACAAAGAGAATTAAAACAAATAGAGTAAATTATGCAATTTCAGTGTACGATCACAAGACACAACTGTAAGCAAAGTGCAATTCTTGGCATCCTTTCTATCAGCTAACCCCACAATAGCGGGGATAACCAAAGACCTTGTACTCACGTGGGTTCCAACTTCCCTTCCACTTTCTTTACTTTTCTAGTGTGTGCAAATCCTAACATGCTTCTAAGTCAGATCCAGAAACCCACTTCAAGTTTTCCTTGTGGCAACTGCAGCTTGCCCAGTTTTTCCATCTCTCAAGTACACGCACGCAGACGCAAGTTCACAAACAGGTATGAACAAGGACACATCTTGTAATGTACCACGTGCCTTATTTAAATTCACCCTAACTACAGTGGTGCCTTGCATAGCGACAATAATCGGTGCAGCAAAAATTGCTGCAAAGCGATTTCGTCGCTATGCGATATTAAAAAGCCCATAGGAATGCATTCAAACCCCTTCAATGCGTTCCTATGGGCTGAAAACTCACCTTAAAGCGAAAATCCTGGTCATTTTCGCTGCCCGGTAAGCGAGGAATCCGTCCCAGAAAACAGCAGGTGGCCATTTTTTTTACCCAGCGGCCATTTTGGAACCGCCAATCAGCTGTTAGAAAATCATTGCTTTGCGATGATCGGTAAACGAAACAGGGTACCGATCATCGCAAAGCGATTTTCCCATTTAAAACATCGCAATGCGATCGCAAAAAGTTCGTCGCTATGCGATTTCATCATTAAAAGGGGTGCCCGTTAAGCGAGGCACCACTGTATGTGAATATTCACAAACATTCCTGTGAATCTAGGAAAAAAAAAGATTTTTCATGGGTTAAATCGAGCCCATGTTCACTGTGCCTACTTGCCACTGAAACCAACGGGGGGAAAAATTAATCATAACTTTAGTCGCCTTGATTTTGACAGGATCTCAGTGCAACCAACCAAAATTGACAGGGCATACCCGATTGCCTCTGAATGAAAAAGACACCCTTTCTGTGCAATAAAAGCATCACACATACGTCATATTCCTCAGAACCAGCGTTTTCTCTGCCATCGCGTGTGGATTCAGAGACTCAAAGCGTACAAAATGTTGCGCTGTTACATCCATCAGCTCTCCAGGCAAAGGGCAGCTCTCTCCCCCAGTAACCGATAAAAGTTGTAAAGCTATCAGTTGCCCAAGACCTGGAAGCAAAGAGAAATAAGCAAGTTTTTACTCTGTGGCCAAATGCCTATGACTGAATCTAATGACTTCAGGAGAATAATGGGATAAACCTAAAAAGCTGTCACATCATTCATCCATTTAACTAAGGGCTGGCCAAAATACAGTCCTTCAAGTGTTGTGGAGCCTAAGTCCTAGCATTCCTCACTATGGCTAAGGTGGCTCGGCCAGATGGAAGCCGCAACAAGCCGATGATGGCACTTTCTCCACCCTTGAGTTAGCCAGACAATGTCTCCTCTAACTGGGAGACTGGGGCCAACATCTTTCCCAGAATGGCTGTCAAAGACCTTAGTTGGCCATGCTTCCACACTGGTGAGCTTGCAATCTACATGGAACTATTGAAGTTGTTATGTGGTTTAATTTGTTGGTGTACAACCTCTATGCAGAGGCCAATGTCTCTGGAGTGCTCCATTTGCATCCACACCTGAAACCCATCTGGGTTTCTCTTGATAATCACCTGTCCACAATAAAAAATTCTTTCTCCTCGGATTAAACTCAGGACTCATCCAGATGAACCATTTATTGTGGGGGAAAGTAACAGGGTCACTACTAATTGTTCTGATTTTTTTCTTACCATCTATGCCTCCCTAACCTTTTCCATTCTTCCTGAAGGCATGGGTGGTTGATTCTATTTCTATCCTGGTGTTTCTCCCAGGCAGTAAAATTTAGGACTTTGGTACCTCCAGAGGCAAAAATGAACTGCAAAGGAAGCATATGCTTTTATGTTTTCTGTGCAGCTCATTTTCACACTAGAAGTGTCTCTTAATTGGAAGCCTTTAATTAGCACACCTTTACATTTAAAAAAAAGCTACAGGAAACAAGATATATAGCTGGGGTGTGGATTTCACACATAGATTCCAAAGATCTCCTAAAGAGAGTCAATTTTAGAAAGATGAATTTTTAAACTTCAATATGCATACAAACATGTGTAACTCCACTCTGCTTTTGAAATAAAACACAACCGACCATGACCAACTGCAGTGACCACCTTTTGCCTTACCTGGAAACGTCCTCATTTTGGCTTCACTATCATCAAACTTATCAAGATATGATTAGCAAACCTGTCACAGTAATCTCGTTGCTCTGACAGTTGTCACAAACAATGAGGTAGGTCACTGAGGAAACCTCGGGCATAATAGGCATGAACACAACCTGAAAGAGAAGTTTCATGACAGTGTTCATGGGACACAGAGACCACTACAACCAAGGCACATTGATTTCATACCAGATTGCACTTCATCAGGGTACCTAAGAAGACTCTTGAGTACAGAATTTACATTTCTAAGAGTAAACCGACTGCTGAACCAACCTAAGCCTGTGGGATAAACGCAACCAAACAAAGTTTCCCTGTTTAGGTTTAAGGTGCACAAATTGTGGCTGTCCAGATGTTATTGGCCTAAAATTCTTTGTATTCTTCACATCTGCTTCTGCTTGCGATGGCTGACAGGAGCAGTAGCACAGCAAAATTGGCCAATCACTGCTTTACTTCATTGATCAAATACCTGCACCCGAACTCCCCCCTTTCTCCCTTCACTCTGAAAGCCAAAGTAGACCAGTGTGTCTTTATTAAACTCCTTTAGGCCCCCCTCTCTCTGTCGGTGTCACACTGGAATTGGGACAGGAGGAAGGCTTAAAGAAGCAGACGAAGACAAGACATAGCCAGAGGAACCCTTACTCACGTGGTCCTTTAAGTATACAAATATTAAATAGTGAAAGCCTATGCTACTCCGGCTTCAAGGAGAGAAACTGTGTGCTTAGTAAGCACTTATTTATCCCCAGCTGCATAAGACATTTATACAATGAAGAGGCTGCTCCGTTCTGCTTAAATCCTCCAGTTAACCTGGTGAGTCTTTCCATTACTTCTAGATGCTAAAGTGTTTTGTTTTGTTATTGTTCCTATGAAAAATGGTATACAACTCAGGGTGCACATAATCTTGCCCTCTGCTCAGTCCATGGTCTCTCTTCATTCTATACCTCTTTTTGTTCCCAGCGTGTCACCACAACCCAGTCCTAACAGAAACACTTTATCATGGAGACAGCCTGCTTTTCTAAAAAAAGGGGGGGCATCTCGTGTGTATGCTTCAAGTGAACTCAACAACTGACCTCAATCAGCGTAGATTGACCAGGAGGGAGTTCAAAAACGGCCGGACGAATCCCAAATGGTTCTTGCTCCACAAAACCAAAAGTGGCAACAGACTTCACAGAAGAAGAGAAAACGAATGATCACAGGAGTCAAACTGGCGATGCAAGTTAATATTTTATATCAATGGGATTACTACTAGCAGGGACCTGCTGTTCTATATGAACTTGCTTACTTACTCGGAAGTGAGGCGGTGGCCACATACTCTTCGGCATGATACAAAACTTCCCAATGCTGGCCCCTTCATTTTTGCACAAAAATTCAGCAAATTTCACTCCACCGACAAGGCAGGCTCCGCAATCTAAGACAGGAGGCACTGCAGCAAAACAGAGTGAAAAGCAATGAATGCAAAGAGCTGGAACTCAGAAAAACAGCAGGTTAGTTGTGGGACTTTTTTTAAACAACAACAACAAAATTGGTTTCTACAATTGAAGTCCAAGATTCCAATAATCCATCCACAAAGTCAGTCAATATGGATGGAAAAAGTGGACAGAGATAAAGTGCACCTCACTCACTCTAGATCAAGGAAGTTGTAGCAACAGGCTTTGAACAATGAGCCTAGTTTGCACCCAGAGCAGAGCTGTGTTGAGAAATGAGGGGAGGAATCTCGAGGCTGTAACGGTGGTGGTGGTGGTGGTGGGGAAGGCAATCTTGCATCTGGGAAGAGAGGGACAGTCTGGGAGGGGAGCAAGCCAGTGGATGACAAGACAGAAGCTTGTGCTAGGCAAAGCCAGAAAGAAATGTGGCCATCGCCATCACTTCTCTTTCTCCTTATTCTTCAGGCATCCCCTCTTCTCATCCTCTCTCTTTTCCAGTCTCTCCCTCCCTTTGTCTTTTCCTATTCCTTCCTGTCCAGCAGGATGTTTGGAGACAGAGGGGCTGAACCGATCACTAGCAGAGGGGGAAGGCTGCCGGTGGCCCACGCCTGTATAGAAGGAACTGGAACACATCATGCAGCTAATGTGCCTATGTGACATTTATGGGGGCGGCGGGATCAATCCAGGTTATTGGCTAATTCTGGGAGCTGTCGGCCAGAAAAAGGAACTTTTTCAACCTGTATCCCAGACACACACTGAGATCTGCTTTGGCATCACCTGAGACCTCTGATCTTACGAGAGAAAGCTCATCAGACATGTAATAGCCCTGTTTTCAAAGACGGAGAAGAAATATTGTTGGTGAACCAAACAAAGCACAAGAAAAAATATTATCAGCAATTGAAGAACCAGCTGATAGAAGGACCAGAAAAGAAAATGTGCATCGTGGGGGATTTCAATATAACAGTTGATAACTGGGCAACTAGATTAAATACATGTAATAGCTGTTGTGGGTTTTCTGGGCTGTTTGGCCATGCTCTTATTTATTTATTTATTTATTATTTATTTTTGGACTTATATACCACCCCAAGCACTCTCCGGGCGGTTTGCAATTTAATTATACAGGCTACACATTGCCCCCCCAGCAAGCTGGGTACTCATTTTACCGACCTAGGAAGGATGGAAGGCTGAGTCAACCTTGAGCCGGCTATCTGGGATTTGAACCCCAGGTCGTGAGCACAGTTTTAGCTGCAGTACACCGTTTTTAACCACTGCGCCACGAGGCTCATTAAGGTTTTCCTCCTAACATTTCGCCAGTCCCTGTGGCTGGCATCTTCAGAGGACAGGAGCTAGAATTCTTTCTGTGTTCTGGCCCTCTGAAGATGCCGTTCACAGAGACTGGTGAAAAGTTAGGAAGAAAAACCTCCAGAACATGGCCAAACAGCTCAGAAAACCCACAACAATCATTGGATCCCAGCCGTGAAAGCCTTTGAGAATACTTGTAATAGCCATTATTAATTCTGACTTTTTAAAAATATATTCTTAGGATATCAGAAGAGCTTTTGTAAAATGGCTAGTCACAAACCCTCCACCCACCGAGTGAATTGGAGGCACATTATTACTAATGAAATTGAAATCCTTTTAAAGCTCACTGGTGCAAAATGATTTTTTTAAAAAACCAAGCTACTGATCATCAGAAAAGGTGGTAAGAGCTAACTCACATGTTAAGATTGGAGGTGGCCTTCTGCCTTTCAATGGCACAAGAAGTGGGTAGGTTGCCTGTGACTCTACCAGTAAGTAATCATCATAATCTGATAGGTATTCAGGAATAAATTGGACTACATACTGACAACTCATTCCAGGAGCTATGAGTCCTCCTTCCCCTGGAAATTTCCCTAGAAAAGATGTTTCATTTTAAAATTTTATACATTTTATGAATTATAAATGCATAAACAGCATGCTCCTCCACGGTATTGTGAAGCAATTATCTACACCAATTTCAACATGCCCATTTTCTGAGGAAATGGACACGAAATTTGATATCATTAGATCTAGCAGGAACTCACCCAACCCGATGGAAAAGGCTGACGTAGCTGGAGGAATTATCCGGGCACACTGAGAAGTTGACGTCATGTTCTGCAACTCTATAGTCATCTACAGGAAAAGAAAGAAACATTAAAAAGGGCAACAAATAAAATACTGCAAAGCAACTTTAGCGGTTGAAAATGAGAGCAGCATTATGTCACAATCTTTGCCTCTTAAGATACTCGTAAAGTTGCAACAAACGGACCACAATCCAATAAAGAACAACGTTATATTAAGCGTCTGAAAGATCTCTGTGAACCAAACCTGTTCAATGAGACTGAAAAGTACTCAAGACAAAGTAAATAATGGGAAATGACAAGGCCAGAAATTTTCACTTCTGCACCTTAATGTCTTACCTCGTAAACCTGGCCAACTTCATAGTAAGAAAACACGACAGCAGGTGGGTTTGCTAGGAAGACAGGCACAGACTGGCAATCACTGAAATGAAACAAAATGAGAGCCAACAGAAACGTGCTAAATTATTTTATGTGGAAGGTGTGGGACTACTATGGTGCTCTCAAATATATGTGTGTGTTTTTATAGAGATGGGGCGGGATGGGTGGGTGTTAATCTTCTTGCACTTAACCTGGGGGAAAAAAATTCCAATACTGGGGGAGTGGCAGATTTGGGAGCAGAGAATTTAAAGGGGATGCACAATAGCACCACACACACACAAAGGTTGCGATACTACAGCACCAACTGGAGGGAGAGAGAAAAACAAAGGAAACAAAACAAGTGCAGTAGTGTGCATCATGTGGCAATCCAAGAAGCAACATCCTAAGTGATTGCAAGAGCGCCTTCTTCCCATTTTTCAGATTATGAATCACATGATAATATTGATTCCCCCCTCTCTTCCAAATTACTCATCCCTGAAGTCATGATATGCCCCCACCTCCAAGCAGGGGAGGCTGGCAACTCTGATGTCACAGAGACGGTCAATCCTGTTGGTTTTTGTACTGCCTTTAAAAGAGTTGTTCAAGGTGCCAAACCTATTTTATGACAACGCTTGCAAAGTTCAATCCTAGAGAAAATCATAGAATCATAGAAGAGTTGTGTTGGAAGGGCCCCATAAGGCTGTTGAGTCCAGTCCCCTGAGCAAGGCAGGAATCCAAGTCAAAGCACCTCTGGCAGAGAGTTGTCCAGTTTTCTTTTGACTGTCTCCGGCATTGGAGCGCTCACCACCTCCCCCTGATGTCACTGGTTCCATTGTCATACTGCACTAACAGAGTTTTTCCTGATATTCTGCCTAAATCTGCCCTCCTGCTGTTTGAGCCCATTATTATATTTCCTGCTCTATGGGATAAGAACAGATCCTGCCCCTCCTCTGTATGACTAACTTTCATCCGGCCTCAGAGATTTGAACTCATTTAAAATTATAAGGTACTCCTTGACTATTGATCTCAAACTGCAATCCTACCACCTTCCCTTTGTACTTCACATGTGCCTGGAAAAGAATAAACTTTTTGGAAGACCAAATATGAATTGAGCACTAGGGAGTAGGAAATGCACACACACATGGCAACATCACTAGCTTCTACCTCCCTGTCAGAAAGTCACTGCTGTAGAAATACAAAAATACCATAACTATTTAAAAACTAGAGCCAACATGCAAAAGGAAACACACACTTAGAAGGAACAAACTGCCTATGATTTGGTAGTACTGACCTAGCAAGTTTTTTAGAAATTTCCATCTGACGTGTTTCTGAATGTACACATCTTCCACTGGCTGATCATACAGTGATAACATACAGAGCTGCGTGCAGCTGCTGCCAAAGTATTAGTACCTCCATTTCAAGTCCCTCCTTCCTCTGTGCATTGCATAGATTAAAGTAAAAAATAGAGTGAGAGGATTTCGCGCCTACCTACATTATTCAAAAGATATAACAACTGCTGAAGTAACAGTGCAGTATCTTTCAATACTCCGAAAACTATTTAGCTTTGAAGTATTGAGAACACCTGCATATAGAATGAGGACAATGGTTGTTACTTCATTTCACAGAGGATTGTGCATGCTACCTTTTCGCCACTGTTTTTTTCCTTCCTGCTATCATTCGCTGCACCTTCTTTTGAGGCAAAATCAAGGACCTGGTGTTGCAATGTGAGTTCGGTGGGAAAAAGCGAGGGTTCTTCAGGAAGTTGTGGCGTTCCTCAGCCCTCAGGAGGAGAGCACGGGCTTTCTGTCTTTCTGCTCTGGACATAATGTTCTTCCACGCTGGCTTTCGTAAGGGGCAGGACTTTTTCTGAACACAGATAAGGTGAAAACAGAAACCCATTTTCAGTTGCTGCTTTACAAAGGATCCATCCACAGTAATTAAGGATAACTACACAGACTTTCAAATTACCAATCAATCTAATTCCTTGTAGGCCAACAGCAAATGGGACAAAATGGAGAAAAATCTGTTCTTAATATGGCAGTGATGCTCTGTGGGACTGAACGACAGGTAGGTGGATTAGGAGAATATAAAAGTGATTTTAAAAGCAATGGAATATAAATAGATACCTTACAAAATGATTTCTTGATTCGATTTTGAATATCAGGAGTGGAAGACTCCACAGTACAGCTGGATAAGGATACATCCGGCAGACTTTCAAGTAATTTCTTAATATGTGGGCTTTCTTTGAATTTGGAAGAATTTGAGTTGTCAGAAATATGGTGTTTAAAACTAAGAATTTCTTTCAAATAGCCAGGCGCTGATACTTCTGCAATAAAAATAAAAAGCCTTGAGAGGTAGCCAAGCCTCGATTTCACAAACACTACCTACAGATTACAGTGAAATGGAGGACTTTCCAGGTAAACTATTTTATTTTTCACACATGGAAAGGGCAGTAAAGATGTGCAAACACACAATACGTCTCAAATTACTTGCTCTTATATCCACGAGACACTCGGAGAATGCTACACAGAAAAGACTGAAAAAGTAAGAATTTAAGAACTTCATGGTGCATGTTGTGAACATCATGGCTAATATCTTACTGAATGTCTAAGATCTTGTTGTTTGCATCAGAAGCAGAGCTAGGCATGAATCGCTGGTTTGGCAGAGTTTAGGTCTAACTGAGCAGCTGATCTGCACTTGTGCCCTGCCCCCTCCAGCAGATGCCCACTCAGTGGCAGAGTCCCTCCCGCCCCTCTCCACCAGGCGCTGCCACTGAGGGGGTGCCCACTGGAGGGGGTGGGGCACAGAACCTTGGATCAGCTGTTGGACAGGAAACAAACTATACCAAACCAGCGATTCGTGTTCATCTCTAATCAGAAGTAATTCAACAGTGCTTCTGGAGGGCAAGGCTCAGCTGGCAGGGAGTTGCCATTCCCAGGGGATGCGCGAGCATGTTCATAGTCCTTGCGTTCTTCAGGGAAGCGCCTTCTGTGTCCTCCACTGAATCAGACACAACAAGGAGGCCAAATGCTCTGAAAGAGCCCAAAGATTGGCTATTGTACCACCAATTCATTGGCTGACAAAACACAAGGGTCATCTATTCTATAGACTTCTTTCACTAGTGAATGTTTAGAGCTTGAGATGGGCACCTCATGCTTTGTATGAAACATGGCACCACAGGTGGCGTGGAGGCTCATCTCCCACCTCCTGGGCCAGCCGGGCCACTTACGGACCTCCACGCACTGCCAGGGTCCTTCTTGGCAGCCATCACAGGTGGCGTGGAGGCTCATCTCCCACCCCCTGGGCCAGCCGGGCCACTTATGGACCTCCACACACTGCCAGGGTCCTTCTCGGCAGCCATACTTCAATCCAGGCAGGAGCCCAGCCGGCCTTTTCCTGCCTCCTCAGCCAGCCAACCACTCTGGCAATGAGGTGGGATGGGGAGTCTCCCAGCTCAGGCAGTGCGGGGTTGGCTGCCTGATAAGACACAGAAAGCCAGCTGAGCTCCTGCCCGGATTAGATCCCTGCCACCTAAAGACCCCAGTCGTGTGCAGAGCCCGTTAAGTGGCCCAACCAGCCCAGGGGGTGGGAGATGGGCCTCCACAACACCTGTGGTGCCACACTTTGTGCTTCATACAAAGCACGATGAAGCACAAAGCACCCATCTCTATTTAGAGCTATAATTCTACACAGGAGTTTGGGACTTCACCAGATAATTTAGATTATGAAGCAACTAATAAAATATAAATAATATTTTGCAGAAAATATTCAACATTCTCACAAATTACAAAGAAGCTGCTATAAAACTAATAAAAGCTTGGAGTGTGGATTTATGTGTCTTCCTAACTTAGCTCCCAGGGATACCATGAGTCGGACAATCCCACACAAATTACCCTGTGCTTTTTTGGAGGAAGATGGGTAACAATTGGGAATAATTTGACGTCATTCTTTCACATTTAATTATGTTATTCTGAAATTACGTTAATGGAAACCCATGACAGTGTCTGCAAAAGTTACCTTTAGGTGCTCGAGTAATGAGTGCTGGGTCCATGATATAATCTTCAGGACTAATTAAATTATGCTTCTGAAGAAGTTCATCATCCACACACCATCTGAAGGTAGACTTCACTATAGCATTCACATTTTAAAAGCAATAAGCATTGAAAGAAAAAGGCAACACTATTTGACCATTCTCACATGAAGCACAAAAGAACATATATTTTTACTAGTACAATAATCCACGGGGAAGAAAAATTTAAATTCCTCCTTCAGCTGCCTTTGATCCCATCCTGATCTACCCACCCAACCTTGATGTCATCTGGACAGTATAAAATGCATGTTAAATGCATTTGAACAAGGTCTTGTTTAACTTAACTCATTGACATTTCAAACACACTCAACAGATTAATTCTTTTTATCTGAAAATGGCATTTTCCTTTATTTTGTATAAACGCGGTTCACGCCAGCAGTGCCAAATCCAAATGCACATGGAGTTACATTGTTACTTTCCTTGTGAACCAAAAGCAAAATTCACCTCTGTTCTGATAGAGTTTTTTCATGACTCAGAATACAGGTTACCGTATTTTTCTGTGTATAAGACGTCCCCATGTATAAGACGCCTGCCATTTTTCTAACCCAAAATTAAGAAATCTAAGTGGGGCTTGGCTAATGTAGCGTAAAAAGGATCAAAGTGCTGCAGGATGGCTTTGATCCCTGCTTTCTCCCTTCATGCTAAGCCCCGCGTGACTTACCAAAAGAAGGGGGGAAAGGGATCAAAGCAATCCCATGGCTGCACAATCATTTTGATCCCTTTCCCCCTTATACAGCCACGGGATTGCTTTGATCCTTCCCCCCTCCTTTTGCTAAACCCCATGGGACTTAGCAAGCAGAGTGGAAAGCAGGGATCAAAGCGATCTTGCAGCACTTTGATCCCTGCTTTCCTTTTGCTAAGGCTTAACAAGTGGAGGGGAAAGCAAGGATCAAAGCCCTGCAGGATCACTTTGATCCCTGCTCTCCCCTCCACTTGTTTTTTTCTCCTTAGCTTACTTCTGTGTATAAGACGACCCTCAATTTTTAGTCTAAAGATTTTAGACAAAAGTATAGTCTTATACACGGCGAAATACGGTATTTCTACTTCTCTCACCAGGTGGCAATGCAACATGACGGTAGTCCTCTGGAACTTCTGCTTTATATTGGTTCAGCATCCTTTCCTCTTCTGCGGTGGCTCGTGCCCTTGCTTGGATGATGTGCTTTTCTAACATATCTGCTTCTGCCAGTCGGGCATTATATTCAGCACGGACCTGATGGAGAAATCAGTGAATCGTTTTTACTTATTTGATTAATGGCATAAACTTTCAGAAAGACAGCTGCAAATCAGTTGATGCCACATTAAAAGGAATATATACATAGTGGTGCCCTCTTTCTCTCTCTTTCCCACTAAATCTCTCTGTAAAACCTCCCTTGTCTGTATTCGCGAAGGCTTTCATGGCCAGGATCTAATGGTTGTTGTGGGTTTTTCGGGCTCTTCGGCCATGTTCTGAAGGTTGTTCTTCCTAACGTTTCGCCAGTCTCTGTGAGCGGCATCTTCAGAGGACAGCACTCTCTGCTCTGGTGTAGTTGGCTGGGGAGTCCCTTGTCTGCATGGGCTTTAGTATATCCTCTTAACAGGCAGCTAATTACCAAAAAGGTGGAGGGGGCCAGTGCTACTTATTCTTATTTATTTTCTGTATCTGTATCGCTTCTTTCCGCCTCATGGCTTCTACATTCTGCATCTTACAACACAGGTGTGAAGTTGGGCTGAGAAACTGATGTAAAGTCAATCAACATTGCTCATGGTGGAGTAAGGATTTAAATATGTTTTTTTCCAATACTCATCTGATTATCAAACCACTACACTACACTCTCTTAATTTAACTCCAGTGCTATAATATCATGTATGCTGATGATACAGGGAAAGAAAATAATTAAAATACAAAAATATATCTGTCCAAGCTAATTCAGTTCTAAACTAGCAGAGCACAACTTTGTCTGTTGGTTCAAATCCCACCATCCAATTTGCTATTATAGGACTTCTGCATCTTACAACACAGGTGTGAAGTTGGGCTGAGAAACTGATGTAAAGTCAATCAACATTGCTCATGGTGGAGTAAGGATTTAAATATGTTTTTTCCAATACTCGTCTGATTATCAAACCACTACACTACATTCTCTTAATTTAACTCCAGTGCTATAATATCATGTATGCTGATGATACAGGGAAAGAAAATAATTAAAATACAAAAATATATCTGTCGAAGTTAGTCGGATAACGACTAAACAACAACAACTACATCTTCCCTAAAGAATAGAAGCTGAATTTACCTTTTGCAGCCACGAACTGTCTGGGAGGCAGTGGAAGACAGGAGGGCCTGGCGTGCTCTGGTCCGGTCCATGGGGTCACGAAGAGTTGGATAACGACTAAACAACAACAACAACGTCTTCCCTAAAGAACAGAAGCTGAATTTACCTTTTGCAGCTCTTCCACGAACTGTTCATGACAGGAATTTTCTCCTCCACGAGCCTTGATCATGTTTTCTACCTTGTCCACTCCTATCACCTCGGAAGTATACATGCTCTTAAAGACACTTGTTAGCAAATGGGAAATGTCCTAAAAAGGGGCGGAAATACAAATACACAAACATACAAATACACACACACACAAAAGAATTTTTAATGCTGTTAACAAGAACTAATACATATATTAACAATGTTATCAATAATACATTATATCTAATAACAGATACTATAACATAACATAGTAATACAGCATGTGAAATAATATTTAATAATAATGGTGGGAACGTCAGTAAGGCCTTGATTTTTCATATTAGGCCCACAATAAATGACATAATATTTAATATTATATGTAATATTTAGTATTCATATATTATATGTTATAATAGTTTATTATATTCCTATATGTGTGTGTGAACATATACAGTGTGTGTGTGTGTGTGTGTGTGTATATATATGTATTAAATGATATGTTTAATATTATATATATATTAAATTTACCTATATGACAATATACATTGAACTGTATATTAAAGATAATTATAATATATGGCATTTTATTATTATTATATCATATTATCTCTTCAACCTAACATATTATTTATTGTAATACACAATATGGGAAGAGTATGATGTGGTGTCAAAGCCCCCCCCCAAAAAAAACTGCACACGTGAGCACGAGAAGTGGCTATTTCAAACTTTCCAGTTTCACGGATTTTTCCTCTTTTCCGGCCCCAACCAAGGAGCGGCGGCCACCCAGCGAAGCCTCCGAGGCTCTCCTTGGGGAGCCCCGGCAGCGGGCGGGCGGGCGGTTGTGCCTGCGGGGCTTTTCCTTCACCTGAGTCAGCTCCGAGGCCGGCCTGTGCCGGTACATGGAGGGCTCCGGGCTCGGCGGGGCCACGACGGCCGCCGGGGTGGCTTTTTCCCCGCTGGGCAGCATCTTCGCGGAGACCGACTTTCCCCCGTTGCTAAGGGCCCCGCTTTCCAGGACTCGCCGCCGGGCCCTTAGCAACGCCAACTTCCGGTCCCCTCCCGGGGGGCGGGGCTTGGTCGATTCCGGCCGCGGAACCTTTCGCCCTTGTTTTTTTTTGGAATGACGACTTCCTGGATCTCTCTCCCAGGGGATTCTGGGAGTTGTAGTGTAAAGCTTCCATGTTTTGCTTCCTACTCTTGCCCCTCTTAGAGTCAACTAAAAGTTAAGAGGCTTTTTCAAGAAGGGCATTTGAAACAACGAAGCAAATTATTAACACACTGTTACCATTATCCTTGGTTGTTGTTTTTTTTACCCTGGATTTGGTTTTAATTGACTTTGACGATGTCAGTTGGGGTTCACTGGCTTTTGATCTTTTATGGGAATTATAAGTCCCCCCACCCACTCGCCCAGCGCTCCTTGGTAATGGAAAGTCAGGGTAAAAACTTAATAAATCAATAATAACAGCAGTCCCAGACATGTTCATTCAAATCAGCCCCACTCACCAGTCTGTCAATGACTGCACAATTCAAAGTGGGAGTAGATACAGTCTGTCACAGAAGGGAGTACACCTGCTCACAATTCATATATATTTCAGTATTCTGTATCTTTTCATGTGACTTCACTGAAGAAATGACACTGAGCTACAATGTAAAGCAGAGAGCATACAGCTTGTATAACTGTGTCAAAGTGCTGTTCCCTCAGTTTGCTGGTTGAGATCCATTCCTAAGGCCTTCAGATCCCGCTTGCAGATCTCCTTGTATCGCAGCTGTGGTCTCCCTCTGGGGCGCGTTCCTTGCACTAATTCTCCGTACAGGAGATCTTTTGGAATCCGACCACCAGCCATTCTCACGACATGCCCAAGCCAATGTAGACGTCGCTGTTTCAGCAATGTATACATGCTAAAGTTCCAGAAAAACATCTACTTCTGCTTCATTGACTATGCAAAAGCCTTTGACTGTCTGGACCACAGCAAATTATGGCAAGTCCTTAAAGAAATGGGCGTGCCTGACCACCTTATCTATCTCCTGAAAAACCTATACGTGGGACAGGAAGCAACAGTTAGAACTGGATATGGAACAACTGATTGGTTCAAAATTGGGAAAGGAGTATGACATTGTCTCCCTGCTTATTTAACTTATATGCAGAATACATCATGCAAAAGGCTGGACTGGAGGAATCCCAAACCGGAATTAAGATTGCCGGAAGAAATATCAACAACCTCAGATATGCAGATGATGCCACTCTGATGGCAGAAGGTGAGGAGGAATTAAAGAACCTCTTAATGAGGGTGAAAGAGGAGAGGGCAAATTTTCTCATACTCCTTTCCCAATTTTGAATTTAACATATTTTGGTTTAGCTTTGGTGTGGCTTGCATGGGCAATCAAGGGACATTTGATTTACAAAAGACCTGCCCCAGGGAGAAACAGAAACTGGTGGAACTGGTTTGTTGATATCTATCAACAAAGCTGCCTGTATTTTTACTCTTCCATTAGAGTAGGCATATGTAGAATGTCATGATGGGTGGTTTGGATTTCAACACTGACTCCTTCTGTACCACTGCTCAAACTAGCCTGAACTCTGTAACAGCGAAAAGAGGTTCAACCCCCTGTAGATCTTGCAAACAGATCTGGAAACCTGGAATTGAAGAGGAAGAGCATCTCAAAATATTCCTTTCAGCTTGCCACATTCTGATGGCTGATTTACCTTCTTCAGCTATTACACGGGAAGTGTATGTTTATAGGTGAGTGTGGGGGTCAGTTTTGCATGGCAGTGATAGAGGGCAGGGAGCCATTGCATCAGCCCGTTTACAAGGTCATAGCCAGTTCCTGAGGGGCAAATAAAATGGGATAAGGTTCATGCCATTAGCAATTGAAAGCATACCAGTACTTTTAAAGAATGATGAACAGCATACAATGCAGCAACTCCATTCAGTCTGATACTGTACTCTGGTGGGAGAAGGCGGCTCTAACGAAGAACATCTCAAAATATTCCTTTCAGCTTGCCACATTCTGATGGCTGATCTAACTTCTTCAGATATTGCATGGGAAGTGTATGCTTACAGGTGAGTGTGGGAGTCAGTTTTGCATGGCAGTGAAGCAGGGAGCCATTGCATCAGCCGGTCTGCAAGGTCATGGCTAGTTCCTGAAGGGGAAAAAGAATACTGTACGATAAGGTTCATGCCGTTAGCAATTGAAAACATACTTTCAAAGAAAGCATACAATGCAGCAACCCCATTCAGTCTGATACTCTGGTGGGAGAAGAAGGCTCTGGTCTCTGTCCATACAGGTGTCCCTGCATCTGCTATTAACACTTTATAACCATTAGCACAATCACTAATTACACAGGATGCCATGACTAATTCAGCCTACTAAGAGTTAAGAGCTCCCCGCTCCCCGATCATGGGCCACTCCTATAATGCTCCATCCTGGGTACTATCCACAAGTAATAATGAACTGGACACTAATAAATTAACAGCATTATGTCCTTAATAAATCCATGCAATAGTGCGGCCACCTGGACATACTATATAATGTGCTTCCATTCTGCAGAGTGGCATGGATCAGTCAATTTTTCTCTCCCTCCAAGCTGTTCCAGAATTAGAGAAGATAAGATACCCCAATTCTTAGTGCCTGGTTTCCTTGTTTGAGCCTACAGGCATTTCAGATGATTCAGACCAAGATAATGATCCTACTCAGACTAACTACCAACATCCCCCCCATCAGCCCTATCTTACTTTTGAAAAAGCAAGTACTGATAAAAGCATTCTGTTGCACCCTCCATTTCTTTCCTCCCAAATCTTTTGAGCCCTACATTGGTTTGGCCCCAGCAAACCGGAGGGGATGCATCCTTTTGTCATCTCAAAAGAATGTCACCTTTCAGGATGCTCTGCACAATTCCCAATCCGACGTTCCCTGTCGGGCGAATTTCCCTCCACGCCTATGGAGAACAAGATCTGCAACATTTCTGCAGAGAGAACGAGCTTGGGTTTGAACGGCCATTCTGCGTGCAAAATATCATCAGCCGCATGAAAGAAGACCAGACAAAACAAAACGATTTTTGTAATTAAAAAAATTGGGACAGACTGGCATAAGAGCTGACATTGACCTAATTCTGAGTGGAATGATGAAGTTCCTTTGGGATGAGTTCATTTCATTTCAGGTGGCAAGAAATTCGTGCAAGTCTACTGCATGGAAACCAAAGTGGAGAATGAAGCGAAGTCAGTGGTGTTTACATGGGAGAAGGGAAGAACATCTCCTTCAACTATTTATGTTTTGTTCTTTGAGACAGAAATTAAATCATGCTTATTGCAGTAGCAGTTACTGCCTCTTGCAGAGGGTGGAAGGCACTGCTTTTGATTATGGATGCTGCCAAGGATGATAGACAGAGCTGTGGCAAAAATGGACATTCACGCATAGACATTCATACATCAAGCAGGCGACGAGTGAAACAAGGAAGAATTCATGGATACAGGCAGGGATTCAGACACTTATATGTTGAGTGAAACAAGGAAGAATTCATGGATACAGACAGGGATTCAGACACTTTAATTCCTGTTGTTACAGTGCGTCGCAGTAGAGTAGGCTCATAGAACCAGTCTGTAAGTTCCATTGATTCAAATGGACCTCCTCTATTCACAACTTACTACACTCAAATAAGTTGCAATTAATGAATCAATGGCATTTATGCAAAATAAGCTCACCACATCCTCCTTGATTCAATGGGCCTACTATGATGCAACGTAACTATGCTAAGCCACAGGATTTCAGCTGTACATTAGTTCCTACCGACACTAGTTCAGCTGAGAAGCAGAAAAATATACCCACACTCTCTCACACACATCTCTGTTAAGGATGTTCCTACCTCCTGCTTTGTTTGAGTTTGGCTTTAAAGCTGGGCAGTTTACTTATTCTCTCAAATTCATTGTCTCCTTTTCTCCCTCCTTCCCCTTCGCACACACTCTGATTTTTTCTCATGCACAACCACACAGAGTGTGATAAGGCTGGGAGTACGGCCACTAGGCAGATACAAATGTGAAGCTGTGACTCTGATAAGGTGGGTGGGGGTGTACCCGGGCCTGAAATAGTTTTGTGCCCCATTAGCTGGAGTGTGTCCAGAAGAGGGTGACCGTTGTGGTAAAAGATCTGCAAACCAAGTCCTACAAGGAACAGTTGTAGGAGCTGAGTACTCCAAACCCCCATCTCTGCAGCCAGAAACCTACACTGAGCTTTTTTAAAAAGCCACTTTTTGGGAGACGTTGTTGCTATAGATTTTATTTTTGGCCGTGGTTCAGATTTGAGGTCTCTTGAAGTCTCTCTCACCTTTACAGTCCTGCATTTCTGTGATTGCTCTAATCAATTTCTCTCCGCTTGTCTAGATTCCCCACCCACCAACATTTCAGGATCATAAGGGTTTTCATCTCATTGCAGATCTGGTGAATCTGAAAACTATACTGCATTTCTAAATCCAGTAGCAATTTATTATTTTACTTGCAAGAATTAACACCTCTCCATGGACACATATTTGGCACAGTACCTGGATTCTGGCAAATACTGTATATTGCTGGTTGGACAGCCCTACTGCAGTGGATTTAGGATCCCCTCCAAAAAGCTGACTGCAGCAACTGAAGGCAGAAATAGAAATTCAACTTTATATAGACGTTCAAATTAGAGGTTTGAAACTTCAAGCGCTTGAGGGTATCTAAATAGGAGACCCCAACAGTTGTGGCTCTGAACTTTGTAATTTGCACCCTTGAATTGAAAAGGAGAATGGGAATTTGAGAAGGCAGATGGTCTTCCATTGCTTAGTAGGCAAAACAAAAATACGTAGCAGTTTTGCTTCCAACATACATAGAAGTAGCCACGTCATTCTCTTTCAATAAACCAAAACACAGATATTATTACAGCAACTTTCAGACTAACTCGTTGATTTCATCTTCCGCTGTCAGGGGCTTCAGCCCACTTGCTTCCGAAGAAGTGGACTGAAATCCACAAAAGCTT